TTGTGATCCCTTGCAATTTCTTCAGGAATTCTGTCGAGTTCTTTATTGAGGTTTCACAATTTTTCGTGAGCGGATGAAGTTTCTGGAACAACCACTCAGAAATTTTGTAGTTAGGTGCACCGATCAGTGATACGATCGGTCTAAGTGGAACTTCGGTTTTGTGGACTTTAGGCAATCCATAGATCTTCGCGATGGTCGGCTCAGTTTGTTTGAACGATTTAGCAATGTCTTCTGACAGTTGTTTCTTCCCTGTGAGACGCTTCAACACTTTGTCGATGGAGGAAGCTTGCGCTTTGGTGGGGTCTGTAGGGAGTGGTTGGTAAGTAGATCTGTCGTCTAATAATGCCAGCATTTTCTGTTTGTAGTCCGTCTTGTTTAAAATGGCAGTGGAGCCTCCTTTGTCCGGGGGAAGAATGATAATATTTTAAGGCCTTTAATCACCTTTCTTTCTTAAAGTGATAGTACTGTAAACTGGTTCCGGTCTCTTAAGGCGTGTACAGTACTATTTCGGATGGTAGACCGTTCGTCTTCAGTGAAGTTTGCTGTTGAAATAATGGATTCCAAGGTTGCATGAAAGTCCAAATACTTCGAGTCGGAAAGATTGTACTTCAATCCCTTGGACAGCACACCCTCTTCCGTTGTCGTGAGGACTCTGGAGGACAGATTTACGACTTTCTTTGAAAACCGCGAATTGCACATTTTCCCAACGTCTGGCTTGGAGCAAGATTTTGCGGCCGTAATTCATGCGTAATTCACAAACGGAGTGCCGTAAACAGTCTGCTTCGTCGAGCAAAAACACATCGTTCGGATGAAGAAGGCTATCGAGCCGAAGTGAATTACTTGTGCGAATTATTTTCGCAGAATGGATACCCTAAGGATTTTGTACGCAGATGCATGAGGCAGCGAGAATCAAGGGAGAAGGAGCCGGGTAGTTCCAATCAGACGCCTGAATTAAGCACTTGGCGAACCCTTCCTTACATTAAGAATGTGTCGGAACTCGTCGAAAGACACTTAAGGAAGCACCAAATTCGAGTGGCGCACAAACCTACGGCTACTTTGCGCTCTCAGCTGGTACATCCCAAGGATAGGGTTAATCAGCTGGACAAGAAAGAGGTCGTCTACAAGATACCGTGTGATGCATGTACTGCCGTCTATTGTGGCCAGACTGGAAAATCCGCCTCAACACGCATCCATGAGCACCAGTTGGCAGTAAAGAGTCGAGAACATCTGTCTCAGGTAGCAATGCATACGCTGGACACCGGGCACACTTTCGCTTGGGACAAAGCTCGCGTTGTCGCGGTCTGCCCTTTCAAGAAAGGCCGAGAATTCCTCGAGGCGATGCACTCTGATGACTCATGCATCAACCGGCATATCGAGTTGGATGCCGTGTACAGAAACCTGAAGGAGAAATGGAAGAGAAGGGAACCAACCAGCTCAGACTGACGCACGACGGCCGCCAACCGGCGCACACCCCATGCAAGTATCGATTTTTTGTGCACTCTTGACGTTAGCTGTTTCTTGCTTTCACATTTGCTTTCCGCTTGCGTCTGACGACGACCTGGGGAACCAGCGTCGAAAATTTACGCAATAAACCCTCTTGTCCCAAAGAACCCACCTCTTTTCAACTTATATCGCTTGGGATGCCTACCTTTCAATACTTACGCATATATATATATATATATATATATATATATATATATATATATATATATATTATACTCAAGTTGTTCTCATATCCTTGGGCAGCACACCGACACGGTAAGACAACGATCGAGTAAGTGTTGTGGTTGCTTGATATTATGCATACATATATACATATAGCAGCGAGGAGGGACGACAGACATTCATGCTCATTGAAAACTATACGGGCATATAAAGGCGACGGTGCATAAGAAGGCCACAAACAAACGCCGAATTCTTAGTTATCACACTTTCGCCCTCCAGAACACCGAAGTTCTGGGTCGAGGAAATAACCGCATAGTGGGGGAAAACAATCGAACCCTGGCGTACACAGAATACCGTTGTGTCGCCCTTCCGGCAGCCAACCAAGCTCTCCTGACACAGCTCAACGAACGAAAGAGTAGTGCGGAGTTAGGCCAAACGTGGATCTAAATAAGGCAGAATCCACGACGGACACGCACGCAGCCACAACACAATTCGGGCCCGACGAATCAGTGCTGCTGCATCAATCACTACTCCAGCAGACGGGAAGAAATGCAGTCAAAGGGATTCAAACAAGACTAGCGACCCCGGACGACAATTAATATCGATGCAAATGCAGGTGAGGGCCACCAACGTTCAAACGCCGCCCCCCGACGTAAAGCAGGCAGATTGACAGTAGTTATCCTCTCTGCCCCGGTGACTACAGAGACGACTCCTGTGCTTATGCGGGCGATGGCCGATTAACGACTCCCCCGTGTACACTGTTGAGATAAATCCGTATAAGTAACACCGTGTTAACATGGCTGTCTCTCACCCCTCTACAAATACTGTGTGTCGCTTGTCTGCATTTGAAACCTTAGGACAATGGAACTAAGGTTTCCGGGATTGCCTCTTCTTGTCAAACATATGTATATATGAAAACAGGAAGAGGTTCTTCGGAAAAATCGAGTTGTACTCGTGAATTTTCGAGCTGGTGACACCAACCCGTCGTCAGACGAAATGAAAACAGGGGAGAAAGTTTGTTTGTCACACTGGACTAATTAGCGCGACAGGGCAGACAGACTATCGGCCTATTAGAGGGATGATCACAAAGTCATGGTAGGTCTCTGAGCGAGGGGGGAGG